CAAAAAACATATCCACATTTCTGATGGTATAAACATTCGTTTCACATATAGTCTGTTGTGATTTCCTAGTTTCTGGCGACTTTCTGCTCCTTGTAATGGCAGTCTTGGTGCTGAAAAAGCCTCAGGTTTTCTGCACATCCACATGGATTAGCGAGCAGCATTCAGGAATAATAAACAGCAGGGAGAAGCATAACAAGCATGTAGGGAGAATGGCAACACTTTCACTTCTGTCTGACACTTGTATTCTTTTCCTGCTGCCAGGAAGCACCAGAAGATGGCATGGTTTATACAGATGTATGCTTGACCAAGAGCGAAAGACATAAAGAGTTTGTGAAGATGCTATTAATAATGCTGAGACGGGTGTTTAAACACTTTGCTATAAAGAATAGAAGGGACAAGCAATATTTTATGCCCTATCTCTTCTTTATATTGGCAAACCATAGCAGCAGAGTCTGTATTCTTCTCTCCCCCCCCCCCCCCCCCCACTTGGATGTCATAGAGAGAAAAGAAGAAAGAAAGGTCTGATGAAATCAAGGTCCAACATGAATGTAAAGGTCAGCTTGACAGAAAGGGTACCTAAGGGTAATTAGAGGAGATGGAATTTCCTCTCAAGAATTTTGATTTGAGACCTCTATATTGCTTTAGAAAATCTGACACTCCTTTTCTCAAGACACAGATCTCTCCCTTGGCCATCTTCAGATAAACAAGTTGCAGAAAGTGAAGTGAAAGCTTCTACTTCAGATATTTTTGAAGTGATGATTACCACCTCACTGTAAACATTTTAAGTCCAGGGGCTTGGGCTTCAGACTGACACTTATTTTGCTTATTTTGACTGATGGTCATTTTGCTTTACGTGATGGTCGAAGGAGTTGAGTGTCAGCTCCTATTTTACAGGTGAGACTATAGCCATATAATAGGGTGAGAAGGGAAAACATATTTTGTGCTGAGACACTTTGTACCAGCATCAGTTGTGTTATGTGCTTTTCACAGCCTATGGCACCTTTCAGTCTTCATTTTTTCGAATGTATAAGTACTTTCACATGCTCTTTGAGTAGAGGTCCAGCTATCTCAATAGTCCTTTCAAGAACTAATCCATTCTCCTTACATAATAACTTTTGTCATGTTATTTATGAGTGAGGTTTTGTAAAAATCCTTTCTTTATGCATGAGGATCCACACCTCTCAGCCTGAGAACTACATACCTTCCATATTACTTGGTATAGTGTATTTTTTGGGGGGAGGGGAACTATAGGTCCCAGAGTCCCCCAGCCAATGGCCACAATGTTTGGTGGGTTCTTGGCATTTTAGTACAGAAGTAATTTTTGTACCAAGCTCAATGAAAAGGAGTGGCGTGTGGTAGCAGCGGCCCCAATCCTCTGCTTCTCAGGGCAGCCTAGGGCCGCCCATCTGCATCCCCCCTTAATGAAGTTGAATTACTCAGCTTCAGCTGGATTTTGTCTCAGCTGGGTCTTGCTCTCTTTTCTACTTATTTTACTTTGGGTTGCATTAGACCCCAAATAAGGCAAATAGTTTCTCTAGGTCTGATCTTTTTATGTAACCTTTCTACTGGGAACTTATGTTCTAGATGTAACCTTGCCTCTTACACCAGTGCAAAATAGAAATCAATCAGTAAGGGGTGGGTGG